GCTCCCCCCCCTGCCCTGCCAATGGGCTGCGCAGAGCTTCCCCCCTCCCTCTGCCCACGATGGTTTCTCCCTCGAGGATTCCTCCCCTCTCCCCCGCAGGTGGTTTTTCCCTCGGGCACAGGCGTTATGCCCCGCGCCGGTTCTTCTTCCGGCGTCACGGAGGGGGTGAAAGGTCACGGTAGCTGTTCTATGGGCTGGCGCGGGATACCCGGAAGTCGCGATGTTTTACTTCCGGTTGCGAGCTGTCACCGGCTGCTGGGAGCCGCCAGCAGGTATCGCGGCCCGCAGCGCCTCCCGCCGTGCGGCCGGACCCGGGCCCTGCCTCTGCCGGTGCCTCCGCGTGGGTGGCTGGGGAGGCACCCCCTCCTCGCGCCCTGGCCTCGCCCGACCCGCTGCCTCCGAGCAGGAGGTCCTGGGCCCGTGTTGGGGGCTGTCCTGGCAGCTGGGGTGGGGTGCACTCGCGGGCCGGTGTTCTCCATCTCTGGGGTAGGGGCTTGCTTTGCTCCCCACCCCGTGCTGCTGTTTCAGTCGTTCAAGAGCCATGTGTGGCCCTGCTACCGGCAAGTGTCCTCCACCCCAAACTTTCCAGCCTGGGGCTTCTGATGCTTCCAGATCCTTTGGCAGGCATCCGACGTGCAGGCCCAGGTCTGGAGGCTTGGGTTTCGGATGCCCCCGAGTTTCGCTTGCCGTCAGCTGCATGGCTGCCGCAGCAAGCTAGAGAGGAGTCTCCCATTTTCCCTAAAGTCAACATGTAGTTGAAATCCTCTTACTTGAAGCTGGCCAGTGGGAAGCTACCTATGAGGCTCTCCTAGGGAGTCCTGTCCCCAAGCAGACAAGGGTGCACCCTCCACTACACAGTGCCATTTTAATTGCATTACCTCAGTCAGGGTATTTCCCCTGCCACCATTGTGGTCACAGTGTTTCCCTGATGCTGTAGGATCCTAGACGAGTCGGGCTGGAAGGGAGCTCCTGAGGTCACCTAGTCCCACTGCTGGCCTGGGACTGCCCTTTCTGCCTCCTGCTGAGGTTCCAGCTGTGCTTCTCCCTGCACCGTTTCTGTTACGTGCTCCCCATCCCTGGCCCCACCAAGCCCTGGGACTTGCTGATCAACCTCCTCCTGGCGCTGGCCAAGCTGCTCATCTATAAGACCAGGAAGGAGTCTGTGGCTGGGAGGAGACCCCTGAGTACGCGGCTGTCTTCCTCTCACTCCTCTGCTCACATCTCCAGGCAGTTTTACTAGTTGGTGTCACAGGGTCCTTGACTCATTCAGGGGGGCAGTGGGCACTGGCCAGTGTGCTCTGCTCCATGTCCCCTTCCGCATCTCTTGTCATTAACCTATGACATCACTCCCATTCCTGTTTTCTTTTTATTTGTCCCAAGAAATCATTTGATTGTGTCCCCAGTGGCCTCCCTTATTAAGGGAGGCTTATAGTATTTGGTGATGGGCCTGAGCCTATGATCTTTCACATCCAATAGGCCTGCCTGAGGTGGGATCATCGCATACAATCCATAATCTAAACTTTACTTAAGAGAACTGTCAACCCTGACACAGCACAGACCTAACACCTGAACCTGTTACAGGTAAAGCAGGGGAACCACGGCAGCCAGCATCCCCCTTTTATGAAACATTGTCAATAACTTCTTAGCTCCTGATGCCACGAATAACTCCTTAGCTCTTTCAAGGGCTGAACATGGCAGGTTTTTCATCCCTTCTTTGGCTCTCCTTCAGATCTCTCAGTCTTTTCTGCTCCACAGATCAGGCCTTGCATGCTTTCTAGTCAAGGTTGTGTCCCTCTTGCTTTTTCTGATTCCCATTGATGCAGAGCCAGGGTTTCTGCAATGTCAGGGAATGTCTTGTTTCCACTAGACATTTAACATTATCATTACTGGAGTTTCTAAAACGTTTGTGGAACTTAAAATTTGGGCCAGACTTGACCTTCCAAATGTTTGTACTCGTGGGGAACTTAATAACTGGGGGTGGAGGTTAGGGGGGTTCTGTGACTCATGCTATAACAGAGCTTAAAGGTGCCTTCAGTAGCAGAAGGTCCCATTCTGCTTGGTACTTTATGGTTTAGGCTGTGAGCTGTTGAGGCAGGAGCTATTTCTTTTTCTATACAGAAAGGTAGTTAGCTCTGTTAGCCTGAAAGCAGGGCAGGGTGGCACCTTATAGATCAACTTGTTCAGAAAGACATATACTTTTGTAGGTGACAGCCTACTTCTTTGGATGCCATGAATGGACTTGCAGAGAGCAGGGGCAATAAATA